GAATAATCACACTGATGCAACAACAACAATTTCAATAAGTCCCAACAAAACAGAAACAATGCAACACAGATAATATATTATTAGTATCCTATAGTATTAGATTTTAATCTATATGTGACAGTAGCAAGGAGAGGAATAACTTCCTGTTGTGTCCCTTTGAATCACTGTCTCCCCTCTCTAAATTGAACACATTGCAGGTGGACTCTTCATGACTTTTTTTTTTTTGGTCCAGTTCCAAAAATACAAAATCAATACATTGCAGCAGATGTTGTTATGGTTGCGGGCTGACACAAATAAATGGATGTGTGAGAAACCCTGCATTATGTATATTATTTAAATTTTTTTTGTTCAATGATTAAAAAAACAGCTCAACTGTACAACTGTAAGAAACTTTTGTATATTCTTAACAGCTTAGTGATCATGGTTATGGGGGAAAGAAAAATACTACTGATTCTATTTTTTTTTATTTTATTTTTTTTTTTTACTTCAGTCCCATCATACTTTGTCTTGCCTTAACCTCTCAGCTTCCAGCTGGTTACCTGAGGCTGGTGCTGAGTGCACATTTAAATCATGACAGGGAGAAAGTCATTTTCTCTCAAAAACATAGCCAATGGGATAAAGCAGCGACACTAAATATACACATCAATTTGCGCAAGAAATAAAAAAAGAAAAAAAGTTACAATTGTCGTCTGCTTGTACTGATCAATTTGACCCAAACAAACATGATCACTTTAAGCGTTTTCCATTGTAATTTATTTATTTATTTTTTTCATACATATACGCATATCTGATTTGTACTGTTTTTAAAATCTACTATACAATAAATATCTACTGATGATTCCATCAAAGTCACCACTGCCATTATTAGACAATACAGTTACAAGAATGTACAAGAACAGTTTGGCTTGATTAGATTTACAATTCATTTGAAGGTTTTACACATCACTGTCGAGGCTTGGATGGGTTTGACAGGTACCGAGATATATATCACAGACCGTTTATTCCCACAGGATCCACTTTACTTTGGAAGAACCTGTGTGATGGCTTCAGGCTGTCTAAACCTATGTCATCTAATATCTATTAATGACTCTATTACCTTGTTTTATGGCCTTTCCTATTACCTTTTAAGTAGTGTGTTTCATCCTTAATGAAGTACTTTTTAATAAATTATTTAATAACTGTGACTGTACTTGATTTAAGTGAAGTGATTACAGCTCATCTCCCTCTTTGACTGTTCTGCTGACAAACTAACTCTGCTAATAAACGGACTCAGGGCTCATGTAATTCATACGTTACTTCAAGAGCGATGTACTGTGTGCCTACTGGAGTGAAAATACAATGAAATCACCATAGTGAGTGTCTGATCAGCCTGACAAAGCCAATTAGTAAAGACATCACTGAGGAGAATTGCGGTGAGAAAGATTTAAAACAAAGTTTTTTTCCTTTTCCTGTCTGAGCTACATGAAAGAGCAACCTGAAATCTCTTGTTCACAGCTAATTAAAGCGAAAATACCAAAATAGGGTTATGCTTCAAAGCTTTATCACATCTCACAACCTCGACTTTTTTCTCAAGGATACCCAAGACATTTTCAGGAATTCATTACCATACAGTTTTGCTTGGCCCCTGCTTTTTCTTGTTTTACCTTATGGCTAAATAGCTAATCGATATTCGCAGTCGGTGCTATAGAACCTGGAGATGTTTATGGTGATAAATAAAACATTGTGATGTTTTATTGCCTCCACGACAGCATGTAGGGATCTCAAGGACACTTCAGAGGAACATAATGTATGCTGACATGAGGCCTTCTGTTCGTGGACTCTGATTTACTTAAAGCAGTCTGAGGCTGTCTGACTCCTTCGTTTACTCATTCACTTCTCACTATATATTGGACACTATGTAGTTTACTCCATATTGAGCAGTAAATTGAGATTTTTGGAAGCCTACTGATTGCATTGGAAAAGCATTTTCACACTAATTTCATTCGTTTTATAGACTGTAAACACTCCTGAAGGTGTGGGTTATGAGTTTGTCGATGCATATGAATATCTGAGCATTTAGTTGGACGTAAATCTTCATTTAGAACATCATATTGGAACTGTTAATAAGAAACTCAAGTTCAGACTGAGGGTATGATATAGATTTAAGTCATGTTTTACTCCATCTTCACGTACGTGTTTGGAGCCAGATGCATAAACAATTCATTAGTGGTTGATGCTACAAATGGCCACATCCCTGCATAATGACAGCAGGGTCCTGTATCACAGAGCAGGATTAATGTCTTAGCGAGGTAACTTCAGGGTTAACCCTGGGTTTTTGGTCTCACAAAGCCAGTTCAGTTCTTATCGGGGTAGATCACCATGGTAACTTACTCTGAACGGCTGTCCTGCTCCGGAGCAGGGTAAGTTGAGGGTTGAATCTGATCCTATAAAAAGCACCACCCACTGGCCAATCAGCTGTTCGGGAAAAAAAATGACTCAGCTGACAGAAATGCAGCCCAGTCCTGACGGGAAGTTTAATTAATTTGATTGATTTTGATTTGAAAGTTTATTTTGAACATTAAAAAAGAAAAGAAAGCAACAACAACAGACAATGAAAAGATTGTCCAAAAAGGAGTGGAAAGAAGTCGAAATTTCATCCCACCCCTTCATAAGAAAGAAACTGATTATTTGCGGACACTTAATAGCACTATTAATTAGTGCCAACATTTTTTTTTGTTGGAGGAAATGATCCCTGTTAAAGATAATGGGCCTAATTGACAGCTTTGCTGCTGGAAATGTGGAAAGTAGCCTATCATGTCTACACTTCATGGTGTTTGAGGGATTTTCCTTTTTGATTTTTAAAGAGGGAGACTAGGTATATTTTTGCGCAGCTGTTAATTTAATACAGCTCAATATCAGGATGATTTTGTTCAGACTATCAATTTGGTGTTGATATGATTTAATTGTGGCGTCAGCTTTAAGCTTTATTGTAGCATATATAATGTTATGACAAAGAAGACCAATTTATCAGACGCAATGATGTTAGACGATAATTGTAATACACGCAATTCATCTGCGCAGCATTGATTTCATGGGATTCAAGGGTGTGATCAGTGTCAGATGTACAGGTACAGGTACTGTAGCTACTTGAACCAGTGATGAGTAATTTAACCTACACATCATTTTATTTGCTACCTTGTTTTGTCTTGATTTTTCCCTCTCTCCTCCTCTATTTCTTCTTTCCTTACCCATTTTTTTTTCTCTTCTCTATTATGTGATTTCATTGATGTTTTGACAGGAGAATTTCTTTGATAAGCTTTTAGTGGCTTCTAACCTCTCCGGCACTTTTCTTTTTTTAATCTTGTAAATTTTATACTGTCTGTTTTTAACATTATGTGCAAATAAACTAATCTAAACTAAAACTAAACATTATTCATCCCGTTATGCGTTGCCACGCATGTTTCCTCCTCCTGCAGCTGCCACGGTGTTGGCCTTTTCTGTAATGTTGCTTTTCTCCTCCTCATATTTTAGTAGAATTAATCTCTGATCCTCACGAGAAATACTTTCTTTTTCCTCACATACGGCGCTCTGTGAGGACGCTCGGTGACGTTTAGTGACGCTCAGTGACGCTGTGCTTCTGTCATGATTGTGATTGGTCCGCTGTGTGCTCGTTCACGGCTCTTGATAAAACAACCCTGGGTTGAGTTACAGAGTTGATATCCAGCGTCGTGATACCGATTATCCTGATTGCCATTGTTAGGGTTAGTCAACCCAGGATAGATCTGGGTAACCCAGGAAAGGTTGATCTCGCTTCGTGATACAGGCCCCAGCTCTGGCACCATTGGAGAACCTTGCCATTGTGACACAGCTGGGCAGCTCTCTGCTGGTCTGTCTTGTATTTACTAGTATTCTTCTTGTCCTTCGCCTTCGCCTTCTCCGTTGTCTTCTCTTTGTCCTGCAGAGGAAATCTAACTTTCCATGCAAGAAAATAAACCAAACTTGGCACATAGGTCCAGTCCCATGCTAACCTTCCTCAAAGGGAATTTGGGGCCAGTAGTCCTGATGGTGGCGCTACAGTAACTGTTTAAAGTTCAAAACTTCAAAAATTCAAAACAAATGGCAAATGGCTTCACATCTTTCACTAAACTATAGGCCCAGTTGTGAAGACACTTTTGTAAAATCCAACCTATTACAAATTATGAAGTCTGTCGCTGTGTTTTTATCAAAAACTGTAAAACTAATTAAACCTATCTCCACCCACATATTTTTCTTAATATACAGCAAACTTGCTATACGCCATCTTCAGACTCTCCTACACAAACTCATCACACAGATTTTTAGATGATCAAAAATTGAATGGAAAAAGAGCATGTTTAAGCATCATTTTTTCACCTATGGATCAATCAGTCTTTGTAAAAAAGACTATCCAGATGTTTTCTATGTTGTCTATATAACGTTTTCAAATTCTCAGACTTTTGTCTTGATAACTGAATCTTTGACAGTAGTTTGAAATCTACCTGTATCATAGTGTAAAGTCACCTCTAAATTCGACACTGGTGAGGTAGCATAACTTGATAACAACTTACCATTGGTGTCTCAAGGCTGTGAGTTCAAGTCCCAGGTGGTGCAGATTAAACATGCGGATGCCTCCTCAGACATTTTGCTGTGTGGGTTGGAAACACAATTTCAAAGATATTTCACAGATTGATGATATTTTTGGCCCACAAAGTTCTGCGGATGGATCCTCATGGGTTTGTTATTTGACTTCCTCCTCTTCCTCCTTTTCCTCTTCATCATCCTCCCCTTCTTCTTATGTTTTTTTTATTCTTCTTCCCTTTTCGAACACCATAGCCATTAGGCTTTACACACAGTTTGTTTATCTATTAGGGGTTTCCCAGCACATATAGCTTCATTACTACAGCACCATTAGCCATTAGTGTCAGTAATCAAAACAATTTCTATAACCTTTAGTTGCAGCCCTACTACCTTCTAAACCTGTCATATTCTGTCTGTTTCCCCAGCTATTTCGATGGCCCATCGCCAGCAGGCTGGATGGAAACGAGATGCTGGAGATCCAAGTGTACAATTACAGCAAAGTCTTCTCCAACAGGTAAGGCTGTACTGCTGCTTCCGGCTTGTCCTTAAACCACATTTACCACAACAAACAGCATTTCAGGAGTAAACTGTTTGTGGCTTTAGTGCCCTTTCTGCCTTCCTGTCACAGCATTTGAACAATCTGGACCGACACCCAGGGCATGTTTCTGTGATGAAGGAAAGAAAGCTTGTATTCCCAGAGAGCTTGTTCTAAATTGACTAAATTGTGTGTGTAACAGACTGCAAACCACAGAGCTGACCATGAATGAGTTTCACATCGGGAGGGGAGTGGATGTAATGAAACCACATTAGATCCTCAGTAATGGCCACATTTGTCACTTTACACTCTCTGAACCAATCATGTCATGAAAAACGCACATGGTGCTTTAGCAGGCATTGCAGCTGGGATCACAAGTTGAATCTGTCTTATGCTGTGATTATCTACAGTGTGTGTTTATTATGATACTGGTTTGACAAGTTTATTGATGATGATATTTCCAAGTCAGACACACTTTGCTGTTGAGGTTCGTATGTTTTTACTGACAAATCCCAAGCTGAGGAGGATGCATTTTGATAGTGAGACAATTACAGTTCTTACATTAATGACTGAAGTGCTCAGACCTGCTTTGAAGGATCTGTACAGCAGTCTAGTTACTCCAAAGAAATCATTTGTGCAGATGCAATGGTAGAAACAGGCTTATTGAGTAATTTCCCTCTGCTACTCCTCATCATCACCATCTCCTTTTTTTATGTTTTTCTTCATCTTAGTTTCCCTTGAAGTGTATTTCGCACTGTAGCCCCTCACAATGATGTGTCCGGATCTGATAAGACGTAGGCTGGTTGTGTCAGGAAGTCTGTCCGTCTCCTGCGTCATGAAACAAAAACAATCAGATCATTACGGCTGCTGGGTTTAACTGGCCGACTGGTTGATGTGTCCAGACTGAGGACACATTTTTTTGCCCACACAGTCATTAAAACTTGGTATGGTTGTCTCTGTGTATGTGGGTGGTTATGTATGTGTGTGTACAACAGTCTTTATATCTTTGGCTGTGACTAGCAGCTCTACAGAGAGGGGAAGTCCTTCCCCATCTGATGGACCACCATGGGACCTTATTTTGGAAAAAAATGTATGGTAGTCTGTATAGAGAGACAAATCATTGTTTTTTATGTGCTGTGAATCACACATATGTTTGTCAGTTTAAAAGATAATTTTGCAAGTCAAGAAATTCACAGTTTCTTGTAAAAATGTTTGTGTGTAAGACTGAAAATGCGTAATTAGAACAACTACACAAGTTGCGTGATGCCATGCCTTTTTACGCTATGATGCCTGTGTGTTTGCTGATTAAAAAAACAGAAGCTGCTGGATAAAACTCAGCAGGTAAGATAACATTACATTTGTACCTTGAACATAGTTTACCTAGCTGGTATAATTGACTAATATTGTGTAAGAGGAGAGACATAGTTCACTGGGTGGTTTCACACAAAACTAAATAGTTATACGACAAACCTACATTAAATTGCAACATACTTGACATGAAAAATGGATCTTTTAAATTGTCAAACATCATCTGTGTCATTTATGGCACAATTCCAGTAAGATAAAAAATATTATCTGCCCCATGAGACACATCAGAAGGGGAGGGACTTCGCCTCTCTATTGCTCATGCTGTCAGTTGGTTGGTCGACAGAAATTTCCTGACCCTTTGGGAGCAGTTTTTGCCTTACAGAAGGCTGAAGTTTGGCATTGATGTCACCTGTGTCTGAAGGTTTGTGTTGGTGTTAATGCCAAATGATGTAGGTGCTGACACTTCCAGTTGCCTCTCTGTCAGCTCTGCTAAATTTGTGCTTAATTTAGGCTCCTATTTTGCAAGTTTTGGTGGTGCTTTTTCCGTTTAGCTTTAGATGTTGGTGGCAGGTGGGCGCAAGTTACTCATCGGGATGAGGAAATCAAGTCATCAGTCTGTAAATTCTCCTACTGTTAACTTCTGCTAGCTAGTTGCTACCTATCTAGATCGAGGTTTTGAAATGTAAACATCGGGGAAAAATTGAGGAAAATGGGCACCTGCTGAACTAGCATCCTGCTAACCACTGCACAGGTATTGGATAAAAAACTGGATGACCTGCATGCCTGCCTCATTTTCCAAAGAAACATCAAGAACTGCAATATCCTTTGATTCACTGAAACTTTGGCTAAATCCTGGACAGCGTCATTCAACCAAAAGGCTCTTCTTCTATATGCTGATCTGATCGAGCAGAGCAGGGGGAGGCGTGTGCTTCAAGATGACTGGTGTGTTGGTAGAAATGTCCTGGTCCTGCTGTGCATCACTGCTGTGCACCATGCAGAGCTGGCTGCAGAGCGAAGTCGCTGCCCTTGTTCGGGTGGAGCTACCATACGGCCATCAAGGTCAGAATGTCTGGACAGTTAAATCATTCCACAACCAGAAACCATGGGTTACCAGAACCATCTGGAAACATGGACAAGTACAAAGCAGCAGTCAACAATGTAAGAAGATGCAAAAAGTTTCAGGAGCTGATGGGATCACATTTCACTGGAGGTGTACTTTGTATAATTACATGTGACAAATAAATGATTGCTTGATTAATTGAATTATTGGCTAGATAGGTAAGGGGAGGGGTTGCATCGACAGTGGCCTATCATATGAAGGCATAAAACTTCCAAATGGATTTACAGACTTAACTGTTTTTGCCAGTTGTCAAAAAGAGGCCACATATGGATGCATGCGTGTACATGATCACAGCTATTGTGATTTTGCTCTTGTTTCTGTGTGACCTTATCTTGTCTGCCATGTGTGAATGCATGAACTGTAGGTGGTGACACATTGCTCATCCACTCATAAAGACGACTCAGAGCTAAAAGCCGTTGACAGCTGTGCAGACTGATGTTGTATCAGCTCTACATCAAGGCAGCTCTTCGCTGTCATCATGATTTTTTCTGGTGCCACTGTGTGGAAGAGAAACAAAAACAGGAGAGCCACACATGACAATGACACACACACAGAGGTTCAGAAAGTGAAGTATAGCTTAAAGTTTGTGATCCAAGTAGCCTGATAATCAGACTGAAATGCCACTTCTCTTAGTTTTTTATTCTGGCATTGTCTTCATGTCAGCCATTTTCTGTCGCAGTGTCGGTTAATCTGTTGATTGGTCCACCACTTTGGTTCAGACTGAAATGTCTCAACAATTATAAGATTTACTGCCATATAATTTTGTACTGACATTGATGGTCTCCAGAGGATAACACCTTGTGAATCTGGTGATCCCCTGACTTTTCCTCTAATGCCACCATAAGGTTGACATTTTAGTTTTTTTAGCGCAGTAGCTCAAAAACTATGCAATGAATTATGATAAAATTTTGTAGTGAAATTCTTTGTACCCAAAGTATGCATCCTAAAGACTCTTTCAGTCGCCTCACTTTTTATGGAGCATCACCAGCAGGTCAAAATTCTCACTTATCCTGTGAAGTATCTCAACATATAACAGACAGATTGACACTTTTTTTTAAATATATATTCATGGTACCCAGTGGATAAACCCCTGCTGATTTTGGTGACCCCTTATCTTTTCCTCTAGGGCCAACATGAGGTGCACATATGTGTTTTAGTGAAATATCTCAACAACTGTTGAATGGATTGTCATTTAATTTGGTACATGCTTTCATGTCCTGCTCAGGATTAATTTGAATAATTTTGGTAATCCCTTAACTTTCCACCTTTGGCTTACTTTGGCTTATGACCAAATACCTGCAAATCTGATGACATTCCCATCAGCCTCAGCTGTAATGCTGTTCAGTGTTTCTACTTCTCTAGCTCTGCCACAGGAAGATAAGGCACCCATTCTTTATCTCGCCAGCAAAGCTGTGGCTGGCCTGCTTGTTTTTCTGTCAAAAAATCGACCAAAACACCAGACCCTTTTTGAATTTTTGAATTAAAAATTGGAGACATGGGCAGCAGTGTGGAACCAGTCTCTCATCATTCTGGTGTGGCAAACCCAAAAATCAAGTATTAAAACCAGGCAAAGCATATGTGAGGTACTTCGCAGTTTTAGACACAGAAATGGTGGATACCAGTTTTCCATAAGAGAGAAAATAAGCAGGAGAAAGAAAGAAATGGTATTACTATCTTTAAACCAGGTGCAATTAACACTTTTTCATACACTCACTGCTTGATAAGGCCACAACCTCAGATGCACATGCACAGGCAAAGTATACACTCAAACAAATGTGCACATAAGCAGGTACCCTTGAATTCAAAGACGCTGAACCGCAAAAATACACACACACACACACACACACACACACACACACACACGCTCACAACTACAACACAACCCGGCACTCATTGAAATGGATGAATAATTCAAGATGAGTCATAGCCTGTGTTGTTCTCACACCTGCTCCATATGTCCACAAGCAGCATCATTACCAGGGTAACTGATCTGCCTCATCACTGTCTGCACCAACACACTGTAAGGCCAATGTGTCACACTGTGCGACCACAAGTGCGATCGTATTTCCACAATACAAAGAGAAAGCGATGGTGCGGGATGGCCTGGTGCTGTAGTGGCATATAGACCATGTTTTATGATCTGTTTTCCCCCGAGGCTGAAAGATATTGCTGTTATATTCTGCACACTGAGGCGTACACTGTGTGTGAGTTACTGAGCACTGGAGCAAAGAGGAGGTTATATGATTGTATCGTCAAGGTCTTAAACCTGAGGTCAGTGGCTCCCAAGGGGTCCATGGAGCAATATCAAGGGGTCCTTGGAAGTGGAATGAAAATATTATTATTTTTTAGTCAGATGTTTTGCAGTAAGCTCAGTGCATGATTAACACTGCTACTACGTCCCAATTTACGGTTTACCTAACAATTGTCACAATGAAACCTAAAATTGTCACTGCTGTGATAACTTTCTGGAGTGGTAAAATCCTGTCTCACAGTGTTATGAGCTGCTGTGCAGGGTTACGGTGTCTGATAAGCCTTCAAACCCACAGATCTA